CCTGTAATCCCAGCACTTTGGGAGCCGAGAAGGGCGAATCACATGAGGTAAGGAGTTTGAGACCATCCTGGTCAACATGGTGAAACCCCATCTCTACTAAAAATACAAAAAATTAGCTGGGCATGGTGGCGCGTGCCTGTAATCCCAGCTACTCAGGAGGCTGAGGCAGGAGAATTGCCTGATCCCACCTGGACAGCCAGAGGGTTGGGACTACAGGCATGAGCCACCATGCCCAACCCATTTTCAACTTAACGATCCATTGTAAGTTCAGGAGCCATCTGTATTGTAAATCTAATGGTGCTAGGAACTAAGTGGTCAGATGTAAGTACTGTTTTGTTTTGAAAAGCTGTTAGAGTTAGGGATACACTTGAGAGTGGTGGGGAAACATACCATACCAATCATATTCTTGTATGAAGATACGCGGTACATCATAACTGTATGTCCATTATAGCTTAGTTTACTTGTACACTGATTTTCAGCAGGGCCTATCTGAGGAAAGGGGAGATGGCACTTGCATAACTTTGAAATGCCTGCAGTTGATTCTGATGTGCCTGTATGTTAGATGGTAGTGATTACACGATCTGTTTCATGGGGCTTTTGATGGGGATGAGCTAGTTATCGGCACATAGGGCTCAATAAAAACTAGTTAGAACAAATTGCTACCCCCTACAGCCCTACCCCCAATGCAATATGGATTTGTGAGTCCTTTTTAATCCTTGTCTGGCCCATAATAGATACTTAATACATATTTATTTATATTAATTATTTTATTTTTTTTGAGATGGAGTTTTACTTTTGTTGCCCAACCTGGAGTACAGTGATGCGATCCTGGCTCACTGTAACCTCTGCCTTCTAGGTTCAAGCAGTTCTCTTGCCTCGGCCTCCCCAATAGCTGAGATTACAGGTGTATGCCATGCCTGGTTAATTTTTTTGTATTTTTAGTAGAGATGGAATTTCACCATGTTTGCTACGCTGGTCTTGAACTCCTAAACTCAAATGATCTGCCCCCCATCGGCCTCCCAGAAAAAGTGCTGGGATTACAGGCATGAGCCACCTTGTCTGGCTAATACTCAGTACATATTGGTAGGATTGAGTTGGAGTAGTTTTATAGCAGGTGGACACTGACATTTGTTGAATGTCTTCTACATGCCAGAAGTTCTTTAATTGATACCAAACAAATTATTCTCTCACTTATTCCCATAAACTCCTCAACAATCCTCTCCTTGACCTCCCTGGTTAGATGGTTTATCATGCCCACAATTTCAATGGAATAAATGTATTCACAGCTTGTGATAAGCCAGGAGTTAAACCTAGGAGTCAGCGCAGTTCCAGGCTCTGAGAGTACCCCATCCTGTCACTTCCTTTCTAGGATGGCCTATGAACTCTCAGTACTGCCTGGCTTTCTCTGAAAACTGAGTAATTTTTCTTTACCTTACCCTTAAACTTTTCTTCAAAATAGAAAAGCAAAAAAAGAAAGATTAATCTGTATTGTATCTGAAGTACATTTTCTCTCTCCTTCCAAACCAGGTTCAAATGAGTTTCCCCCATTTGTGAATATGCTGCTCATCCCACAGCTTGGGGTCATCTTAGACCTTCTGCTCTCCCTTTCTCCCAACTCCTGTCAGGTGTAGCCCTCCTGCCCTCCCAGTTGAATTGTTTAGTTGTCTCCATGGCATGCTTTCTTGCAGTGGTGATGCAGGTCTTCCTGCCTCTGGGGCTTTTCCCACTCTAGTTCATGTAGTTTAACCTGCACGAAAAAGATCTTCCTGAGTGACAGTCTGAGCCTGTCACTTAAAAAAAAGCGGCCGGGTGCGGTGGCTCACGCCTGTAATCCCAGCACTTTGGGAGGCCGAGGTGGGTGGATCACAAGGTCAAGAGATCGAGACCATCCTGGTCAACATGGTGAAACCCCGTCTCTACTAAAAATACAAAAATTCAGCTGGGCATGGTGGCGTGTGCCTGTAATCCCAGCTACTCAGGAGGCTGAGGCAGGAGAATTGCCTGAACCCAGGAGGCGGAGGTTGTGGTGAGCCGAGATCGCGCCATTGCACTCCAGCCTGGGTAACAAGAGCGAAACTCCGTCTCAAAAAAAAAAAAAAAGCAACTTGGTTATTCTTTACCTATCAGGGGCAGGAAATGACTTTACTCCATAGTTGATGCTATTGAAGGTTGGGCCCAAAATACTTTCTCTTGACTCTTACAGGTGTTGATCCTTTCCGGGCAATAATTTTGCAGGTTACACATTCATTATTTTTTCATACTTGCTGTGCATGATTTGTGTGATTTAATTCTTTGGTGTCTTTTTCTGTCGTGGAGATTCTTTAAAGCAGGGGCACATTCATATTGGAGTATAATTTAGGTTTCTCTCTATCTGACACACTAAAATACAAAACGCAGACTTAGATATTTGGCCTTTAGTATGTATTTCTCCTACATCTCTTCCAGTGATGTCATAAGTAAATTTGCAGTGTTGCAACTGGTAACTGGATTGTTGCTTGGTCTTAGAGTTCTAGTGTAGGAAAAAATTGGCATCACTGGAATCACCTTTTCTGCAGCTGTTTTAAGGGCTTATATGTATTTTAGGGCTTTATACAAATGTCATTTATCTTATTGGTATTTTATTCATTCAGGGATTTTGATAACATGAGTATGGAATACTAAAAAGGGCTAATCACAGTCCAGGCATGGTGGCTTACACCTGTAATCCTGGCACTTGGGGAGGCCAAGGCGGGTGGATCACCTGAGGTTGGGAGTTGAGACCAGCCTGACCAACATAGAGAAACCCTGTCTATACTAAAAATATAAAATTAGCCGGGCGTGGTGGCATGCACCTCTAATCCCAGCTACTTGGGAGGCTGAGACAGGAGAATCACTTGAATCTGGGAGGAGGAGGTTGCGGTGAGCCGAGATCGCACAGTTGCACTCCAGCCTGTGCAACAAGAGCGAAACTCAGTGTCAGAACAAAAGGGGGGATAATCACAGCCTTCTTGGGCTAGATTTCCAAGAGAGAATCTAGACGTAGATTTGTATTTGTTGAGCACATCTCTAATTTGTGCTGAGCTGCAGATTATTACTTTGACATTATCTGTGAAGAAAAGGTTTATAAAGCAAATCAAAAGAACAAGCATGCTTTTATGAATACATTGAAACTACTGAAAATGTTTCAAAATTGGCTGTAATTGGTAGAATTTTGAAAAATAGGTTAAGCAGAGACTTCTAATTTGAAGGCCTGAGTTAGCTGCCATTGATCTGGGTTACTGATTGAGGCTTCTGTTGTGTTATTGAACTTCTATTTTTACTATATATTAAAAGATAAGTGAAATGGATGGATAAATGTCAATTTTTAATAGAACTCATTTCTGTTAAACAGCACCTGTGGAATCATCTCAAGAGGAGCAGTCATTGTGTGAAGGTAATAATGTACTCTGTGAAAGTCTACTTAAGAAAACATTAGGTTGTCTATGGTGTGTAAAGCTGGATACTGTTTTGTAAATATATATTATGTCTCAATCTCTTGTCTAGGTTCAAATTCAGCAGTTAGCATGGAACTTTCAGAACCTGTTGGTAAGAAAATTTCTGTCCATATTAATACAGTAATATGAAACTTTCACTCTCAAGATTTAAGGTGCAAATGTAAGTGTTATCATTATCGTAATGACTACATTTAAGACACATTAAGTCTTTGCTATTAGTATTTAGAAAGCAGAACAAACTAGGCACTAGCACTGCCTTGATAAACTTAGTGATTCCAAATACAATTGAGTGGAGGAATGCTAAAGTCAATTTAAATACCTGTACACATTCTGTTTTCTTTTTCTTTTTTTTTATTTCACCTGAGTGCAGGTGGGCTAAGGCTGAAAAGGGCGTTAGCCATACACATTCTATTTTCTTGGTGAAAAATGTTCTTCCTTTTTACAACTTTATTGTTAAGGGTTTTATGTTCCGAGGGTGATTAGAATTGATGCCAAAGTTTTATTACTTAAAGAAAATACCTCCCAAATCCTTTGATACTTTTCCTGTGTCACGATTTCTTTCCTTTTTTTTTCCTATTATCAGGCCGTCTCAATACTGAAATAATTAGGCTGTCGGGAATGTTAGAACTCTTGTTTACGTTTTGTTTGTCCTTATGAAAATGAAGCTTTGCTAAAATAACAATCTTTCATAGCCTATGAGTCAGAGCTCTCTGATCTGATATCAGCAGTGAGGCTGCCTTGAAAGCTGTCAACCATTTCTGTTATGAAAGAGGTTTTCCTGCTTTTGTGTCACTGGGCATTAGAACATGAAACTATATATGCAAAGTTCCATTTGTTGTTTTAAATTATGTATTTTAAAGTATAGATTATAAGTCTTTTTCAGAGTACTAAGTTAAAATGCCTTCCTTCAGTAGAAAATGGAGAGACAGAAATGTCCCCAGAAGAATCATGGGAGCACAAAGAAGAAATAAGTGAAGCAGAGCCAGGGAGTGGTTCCTTGGGAGATGGAAGGCCACCAGAGGAAAGTACCCATGAAATGATGGAGGAGGAAGAGGAAATCCCAAAACCTAAATCTGTGGTTGCACCGCCTGGTGCTCCTAAGAAAGAGCATGTAAATGTAGTATTCATTGGGCATGTAGGTGAGTTGCATTCATGGCAATTAAAGTTACTGATACATCAAACATAGAACATCCTTTTTAGCTACTTGGAGGTGTTTAGTGAAACTGAAGTGAATTAATTGAAAATGTCTTGATTTTTAACTTGCTGGATTTTTTTTAGCTAGCAAAAACTTGCAAGTAGTTTTTCTTGAAGTTTAGGCATCAACTTCAAGAAAATGTAATGGCATAGGTGCTGGAAGAAAACTTTCAGTAGATTGTATGTGACATATAATTAGACTATTGACCATTGATGGTGGTTCAGCATAGTATGATATCAATTAATACCTTAGAAAACGTGCCTTTTTTTTTATATGAACCTCAGTTAACTTGTTAATTTTAATGGGATTGATCTTACTAGATAGCTTAATTTTGTGTGAAGCAAAAAATCAATAGTTTGGAGTAATTTCTGGTTGCTTGCCAGGTTGCTGGTTTAGTGAAAAACAAAAGAACAAATTTGAAAGTGTAAAGGTGTGACAGGGTGCAGTGGCTCATACCTTTAATCCCAGCACTTTGGGAGGCCCAAGCGGGCAGATCACAAGGTCAGGAGTTCGAGATCAGCCTGGCAAACATGGTGAAACCTCATCTCTACTATAAATACAAAGATTAGCTGGGCATGGTGGCGCATGCCTGTAATCCCAGCTACTCAGGAGCGTGAGGCAGGAGAATTGCTTGAACCCAGGAGGCGAAGGTTGTAGTGAGCTGAGATAGCACCATTGCACTCCAGCTCTGGGGAACAGAGCAAGACTCCATCGTGAAAACAACAAGAAAAAAAGAAACTGTAAAGGAGCACATACCCTATTTGCTGTAAGTGAAAAGAAAAGCACCTAAATGTAGTTCACAGCTCTTCAGCTGCGTTTGCTCTCTGAAACTCCTCTTGGGGAATTTATATTCTGTTGCCCCTGTGCTTTCAGAGTAACCTGTTAAAAAATTATTTCCTTTATCAGTAAAGTATTTCTAAGTCATTATTGAGCCTCATTTTATTTTTTCTTTCTTTTCGCTCTTGTGGCCCAGGCTGGAGTGTAATGGCGTGATCTTGGCTCACTGCAACGTCTGTCTCCTGGGTTCATGCAGTTTTCCTGCCTCAGCTTTCCAAGTAGCTGGGATTACAGGCGCCCACCATCACACCTAGCTAATTTTTGTATTTTTTACTAGAGATGGGGGGGTTTCACCATGTTGGTCAGGCTGGTCTCGAACTCCTGACCTCAGGTGATCCACCCACCTCACTCAGCCTACCAAAGTGCTGGGATTACAGGCGTGAGCCACTGTGTCCATCCTTGAGCCTCATTTTCAAAAGGAAAAGGGTAATGAACTAGGATTTATGCACCAAATTCATTTGGAAGATTTAATTATGTATGTTAAAGGTCACTGTTGTTTGCATATGTAGCCATTGGTTTTTGTTTTTAACGTCTGGTTTGCATGTTTATCTTACTTTTAGATGCTGGCAAGTCAACTATTGGAGGACAAATAATGTAAGTCTGTATTTTTTGTTAAATAACAGAGTTAGTGTGATTGAATTTTAGGCATTGTAAACATTCATACAGTCACATAAAGGAGATAAAAAGGGTCCTCCCAAGAAAAATAAATAATAAAATTACTGGTAGGTAATACTGATGTTAAGAAGTGATTTTTGGCCTGGTGTAGTGGAACACACCTGTAATGCCAGCATTTTGAGGCTAAGGTGGGAGGATCACTTGATTTGAGGTTTTGAGTTTGAGACCAGCCTGGGCAACACAGTGAGACTCTGTCTCTAATTTAAAAAAAAAAAAAAAGTAGTTTTTGTAATGTGATTATTGCTAGTGTTAAATGTGGTTTCTGAAAGCTTTTTACATTTTAAAAAAATAAAAAATGAACATAGAACCCTTGGAACCCTAAATTATGGGAAATCTTGGTCTACTTTGAACGTAATATACATGGGAATAACAAGCCATCTCTCGAATCTGGTGAATGGGGCAAGTGTTTTTTCCTCATTCATCAGCTCCTTAAATGTTTATGGATTTAATAAAAAAGATATATAGACCAGCTAACATGCTAAGATAATTTTTTGATCATATTATAGAAATTTTCTGGGTAGGAAATTACCGTGGCTGGCCTCTAGTAAAGCATTTTAGTATTGACAAATCTTGATAATTAAAGAATCCTAAATTTTTAATTGCTTCACTAAATTAGGCCCATTTCTTCAAACTGTGTAATCATAGGGCCTTAGAGGGCATGCCATCATCTTACCTAAATAATTTTTTTTTTTGCGGGGGGGAGGATATAGGGTCTCATTCTGTCACCAAGGCTGGAGTGCAGTGGCATGATTTTGACTCACTGCAGCCTTGACTTCCTGGGCCCAAGCAATCCTTCCACTTCAGCCTCCCAAGTAGGTGGAACTACAGGTGCATGCGACCAGGCCTGGATAATTGGTTAATTTTTTTACTTTTTGTAGAGGTAAGGTTTTGCCAGGTTGCCCAAGCTGGTCTTGACCTCTTAGGTCAAGTGATCTGCCCACCTCTGCCTCCCAAAGTGCTGGGATACAGGTGTGATTAACCACCCCTGACTAATCATCATTGGTAATATTGCCAGTTACTTCTGAACATTTCCACAACAGAGACCCTAAGACAGGCTGTTAAACAAAGGTCCTGTCACAGCCATTAGATGTTATGATTTAAGACAGTGTATATGTTTTGGTGATGGGCTGTAATTTTGGTGGTATCACATAGGGTTTTCACATGCAAATGCTTAGGTGCAATGCACTATGGATGTTTACATGGAAAACACAGATGAAAGCTATAGGGAAAGGAGGGCTTTGTTTTGGATTGAGTCAAAGGAAGTATGCATTACGAAAGAACTATACTAAAACTGTGATCTCATTTTGACAAGTAATATTAACAAGACTTCATTGCCTAGACAACATTGTTACAATTTTTTTTCTTTTCTATGGTACCTATATTTACATTTACTTTTGTGTGTGTGTGTGTGTGAGACGGAGTTTTGCTCTGTCACCCAGGCTGGAGTGCAGTGGCGTGATCTCAGCTCACTACAACCGCCGCCTCCCTGGTTCAAATGATTCTCCTGCCTTAGCTTCCCAAGTAGCTGGGATTACAAGTGCCTGCCACAAGGCCCAACTTTTTGTATTTTAAGTACGGATGGGGTGGGAATTTCAATGTGTTAGCTAGGATGGTCTTCATCTTGTGACCTCATGATCCACCTGCCTCAGCCTCCCAAAGTGTTGGGATTACAGGCATGAGCCATTGCACCCGGCCTAATTTTATTTTTAAATTTACTTGGCTGGGCTTGGTTGCTCATACCACTGCCAAGGCGGAAGCCTTGAGCCTGGGCTTCAAGAACAGCCTGGACAACATCGTGAGACCCTCATTTCTATAAAATATACAAATAAAACTATATTTATTTTAAGAAACAGGGTCTTGCTGTGTTGCCCAGGCTGGTGGGCAGTAGCTATTTATAGGAGGATCATAGCACACTATAGCTTAAAACTCCTCTGTTCAACTGATCCTCCTACCTCAGCCTCCCAAGTAGCTAGGACTACACACATGTACCACCACGCCCATCTTATATTTACCTAAAAAAAAACAAAACTTCTGTATTCTGAAATAATTTTAGATTTACGGAATGGTTGCAAAACAGTACAGGAAGTTCCCTTCATTCATCCTGCCCTGATGTTAACATCTTATAACCATTTTTATTCATCAAAACTTCCTTATTACTGGTGAAATTAGTCATAATTACTTGGTTAAGATGTCATCTGTCAAGATTGTCCACTATAAGGCTGTTTTTACCTTTATTTTATTCATTTATTTATTTTTGAGAAAGGGTCTCTTTTGTCTATGCTGGAGAGCAACTATATTATCATGGTTCACTGCAGCCTCCACCTCTTGTACTCAGGCAGTCCTCCCCGATCAGCTTCCCAAAGTGCTGAGATTACAAGCATAAGCTACCACACCTGGCCTTTTTTTTTTTTTTTTTTTTTTTTTTAAAGAGACAGGGTCTTGCTCTTAAACACAAGCTAGAGTGCAGTGGTGGAATCATAGCTTACTGTAACCTCAGCTTCCTGAGTAGCTAGGACTACAGGCATGCATCACCACACCTGGCTAATTTTTTAATATTTTCGTAGAGATGGTCTCACTCTGTTGTACTGGCTGGTCTCAAACTCCTGGCCTCAAGGGATCCTCCCACAGTGCTGGGATTATGAGCATGAGCCACCACACCTGGACACTTTATCTTATAATTTCAGACTGTAAATACCCTTTTTTTCACTTAAACTTTCCATTCTTTTAGCATCCACCAGTGCTACTTTACTTTAACTATTCTCTGGCCAGGTGCGGTGGGTCTCACACCTGTAATCGCAGCACTTTGGGAGGCAGAGGCGGGCAGATCATTTGAGGTCAGGAGTTGGAGACCAGCCTGGCCAACACGGTGAAACCCTGTCTCTACTAAAAATACAAAAAATTAGCCAGGTATGGCTAATCCCAGCTACTTGGGAGGCTGAGACAGGAGAACTGCTTGAACTCAGGAGGCAGAGGTTGCAGTGGGCTATCACGCCCACTGCGTTCCAGCCTGGGCAACAGAGCAAGACCCTGTCCCCTCAACGATTTTAACGTTTTTCTCATTCCACTGAGTAATTTGTAATTGTTTACTTATTTTATTCTTTAAATGTTTTCAGGTATTTGACTGGAATGGTTGACAAAAGGACACTTGAAAAGTATGAAAGAGAAGCTAAAGAGAAAAACAGAGAAACTTGGTATAGTACACTTTTATGATACTAATTTTTTTAAGGAAACGGTGTCTACTTAGTGCTTCTGTAGCCTATTAAAATATAAATTGTTGAAGTCTAAAATGGTATAACAGGCCGGGCGCGGTGGCTCAAGCCTGTAATCCCAGCACTTTGGGAGGCCGAGGCGGGTGGATCACGAGGTCAAGAGATCGAGACCATCCTGGTCAACATGGTGAAACCCCATTTCTACTAAAAATACAAAACATTAGCTGGGCATGGTGGCGCGTGCCTGTAATCCCAGCTACTGAGGAGGTTGGGGCAGGAGAATTGCCTGAACCCAGGAGGCGGGGGTTGCGGTGAGCCGAGATCACGCCATTGCACTCCAGCCTGGGTAAAAAGAGTGAAACTCCGTCTCAAAAAAAAATTAAATAAATAAAATAAAATAAAATGGTATAACAAAGGAAATTTCCCCTGTCTTCATAATACACAGTAGATCAGTTCCTAATGACTTAATAACTTACACAGAGAAATTTGGAAACGATCCATACATCTGGTAACAGACTTAACAGTATTATAAACCATACATTTAATTGAGTCATTCTGCAACCATTAAAAACTGACATTTACACAATTTATAGTTACCATGAATAGAACTTGCATTGTGGTGGCAGTTGGGGGAACAGCAGAAAATGTCACTGTACTTAAGATCTGACCATATGTAAATAAATGCTGGAAACAGAATGGAATGGAATTGTTGACAGTGGTTGCCTTTGAATGGTGAGAGAGTCAACTTTTTTCTATTTTCTAACATTATTACTACTTTTATTTTTTAAAAGTTAGCAAGCCTTATCTCAATGGGATATTGATAGTCATTTTTTAAAAAATAAAATTATATGCCTCTATAATAAGGGGAAAATGCTAGTCAATTTTGTTCTTGTAAAAAATTGAGTTCATGCTATGAAATACAGATGATGAGGTGATCTAAATAAATGCCTATGATTATGGATGGTTTGAATTTATATGAATTTTTGCTTGGCAGTGTAATACTGAAGCAATGTTTAGCAGGTATCCATTACTCCCACATGGTGGGTTAGTGGCTTTGACTTTTGAAAAATAACCGAGGACAGCTATTTTTTATTTTATTAAAAAGTTTTATTGGGCCAGATGCGGTGATTCACGCCTGTAATCTCAGCACGTTGGAAGGCCGAGGCAGGCAGATCACCTGAGGTCAGGTGTTCGAGACCATCCTGGCCAACATGGTGAAACTCTGTCTTTACTAAACTACAGAAATTAGCTGGGTGTGGTGGTAGGCGCCTGTAATACCGAAGCTACTCGGGAGGCCGAGGCAGGAGAATCACTTGAATCCAGGAGGCGGAGGTTGCACTGAGCCAAGATCATAACCACTATACTTCAGCCTGGGTGACAGAGCAAGACTCTTTCTCAAGACAGCCATTATAAAAATGAAGTAATAAGGGAGTTCATTATCATCTAACACACAGTGTTAGGCACCATGTATAAAAATGAATAGGAAACCATCTGTTTCATAGGGTCTTCAGTCATTCTGTGATTTTCACAATGTATTGGCACTAGATCACAAACTTTTTTCCTTTGTAGTTACAATGGCATCTGTATTTAGTCTTTCTATGTATGTTGAACTTACAAATAATGTTCTAGACTGTATAATTGACTGTTTATATAAAAGTTGTATGGGTTTGAATCAAAATAATACCAGTTTTATTCTTTCCTTTTTTTTTTTTTTTGAGAAATTCTTGCTCTGTTGCCCAGGCTGGAGTGCAGTGGCATGATCTCGGCTAAACTGCAACCTCTACCTCCGAGGTTCAAGTGATTCTTCTGCCTCAGCTTCCTAAGTAGCTGTGACTACAGGCGTGTACCCTATGCCCAGATAATTTTTGTATTTTCAGTAGAGACAGGGTTTCGCCATGGTAGCCAGACTTGTCTCGAACTCCTGACCTCAGGTGATCTGTCTGCCTCTGCCTCCCAAGGTGCTGGGATTACAGGCATGAGCCACCACACCCAGCCCTATTCTTTCAATTTTCATTTCATCAGTCCTGTTCATGATTTAGATGTTGTGTGGTGTACATAAAGCTGGATGTCATTAATTATATCTTTAATGCTGAAGAATAACCTAAAAACTCTGTTGTTCTTAGGAATATTATTCTTATTTTTGAAATTATTTCAGGTACTTGTCTTGGGCCTTAGACACAAATCAGGAAGAACGAGACAAGGGTAAAACAGTAGAAGTGGGTCGTGCCTATTTTGAAACCGAAAAGAAGCATTTCACAATTCTAGATGCCCCTGGCCACAAGAGTTTTGTCCCAAATATGATTGGTGGTGCCTCTCAAGCTGATTTGGCTGTGCTGGTAA